TCTGGCAAACCAGAAAGTCACAATAGCATAAACACCACCTCCAACTAAATCAATCATCAATTAATCAATTATCTTTAATAGGGTATGAATACGTTTATGGAATGAATACTCCTGCTTCATACTCAATGCCGGGTCATGCTGGGGGGTTGATTCGTATTGATGAGTTGTTCAAATTTAATACATACGAAACTGCATTTAATGGTTCTCCAATGGTGTTTGGTGCTTTTCCTTCTTTACACTCTGCATGCGCAATTATCCAAACTCTTTTTATTTCTTACACTTTACCAAAATCTCGTATTTTATGTTTGACTTACGTGTTTTGGATTTGGTGGGCCTGTATGTATTTGACACATCATTATATGATTGATTTAGTTGGAGGTGGTGTTTATGCTATTGTGACTTTCTGGTTTGCCTGGGATTGGTTGCCACCTGTTAATATTACTGATAACTCTAATGACTCTGATGATAATGTTGATAGTACTTTATTAATACAAAACAATAATAGTAATGCTTCGATACCTTGTAATGAGCCTAATGTTAAAGTTTTTAATTCCGATCGTAATGAATTTAAAGTTGAGATTGCTAATATTGGTCTGTAATAAAAGCAAAATGATGAAGTTATTAAATATTGTAAATTAAGAAATGTTGTAGTACTTTGCACTGTATTAGTAACTTAGGCGCGTGCTTTGACTTATATATCACTTAACGTTTAATGTATATTCATAATTTATTATTGTTGCCTTTGTTATTACTAGAAATAGTACATGTTTTCTTAAAATGTGTTATTTATAGATCAAATAAGTTGACTTACTATAATTTTGTATAGTAAGTCATCTCATTTGACCTATAGTAACACATTTTAAAAGAATATGTCTGCTATATTTATAATTGAATAAATTAAAAAATCTAATTTTTTTTGCAAGTTTTATATATTATAAAATTATAGTAAATTATTTTATTTGATTTATAATTACTGTAATATCAAAAAAATTATAATTTTTTCTAGCAATCCTTTAGTTAATAACAACAAAACAAACTATATAAAAATATTATAGAAAAGTAACTAGATGAATACTATTTTTTTTTTTTTTTGCTTCACTTAGGCAGATCGCACCAGTATCCTTTATTCAATAAAGATCAAATCTGTGAAAATATCGTAACATTAAAACTGAGAATCTGATATCTTGTTGTTGCCCCGCATAACCTAACCAATTACCTACACGCATCTACAGGCGATCACGTCATATTTTTAGGTATGATCAATTAAGATAATACTCTCTGGAGGCTCGTTTGACCACCGTTCTACAATAGGATGTCACCAATCTAATAACATCTTCTTGTAGAAAAGCGAAAGAAAAAGAAAAAATTTTTAAGGAAACAAATACAGAGGTATAGGAAAATACATAAAAGAAACAAATAAAAGAAAAGGAAATAAAAAAAAAAATGAA